CCTTTGATCCACTGATGGATTGAGAACCTTCTAGCATCTCGCTACCGATGAGACTGAACCCGCTTGTCAGAGTAGTAGACGAGATGGATTTCTTCAATAGCTTTTGGGGCGATGTGGCAAAGAAAGAAGTTGACATCGAACGGCCGACGTCACTGAGCGAGTGGCCAGTCCCTATAGTGTTTCCATCATCGAAATGTAGGTGGTGATATAAAGCTGACTGGAGGCATGCTTCACACTGCTCGTACACACGCCCAGTAACTGTTTGGAGATCTTCAATCGCCGCGAGAATAGTAAGCTGCTGCTCAGTGTTCAGAAAATGATTGGGGTTGGCTACATGACATTGTTAGGTATTTTAATCAGAAACCATGAAGGATCGGAAGATACTGGTAGTACTCACGATCAAGAAGTGCTAGTGCTTCGCCAAGTAAGACGAGCAACCCATCGACCTGGGCAGCAGATTGCCTGTCTGGATCATACAATCCACCATAGATGCTATCAGCCGCACTTCGGATAACAGCCACCAATGCCCTAGCAGCCTCACGTTTCCGCGCCAGTGGACGATGCTTAGGCACCTGGCCTGAATTTAAACCGGCAGCCTCATCACGGATCTCATAATAGGATCGTAGCGTAGCATAGCTACTGAAATAAAACTGTAGCATAGCAGCCCCCTCCGCATCCACCGAGGCGATGGCAGACAAGGCGGTGGATGGATCGTCCAGAAGGGAACGGAGCTGTTCGTCCAACTGGTCCTTCGCAGGGTAGGCTCTGGACTGGATCAGACAGAAGGATGTGAGCAGGTCAATCACGTTCTTAATCTTGCGAGAACAATGAGCACGAGCGTAGCAAATCAGAGCAGTGCCATAATTCTCAGATACTTCAGCAACTTGATCGCCATATCGCTAAAACGGAGAAAAAGTAATGGTATTAGCTCCATATCCAATCGGAGATTGATTAATATATGAAGTTGAAATTGAAAAAAGGACGGCGAACATACCTCCGAGACTCGTCTACCCTCATCGCTAAAGCCTACTTCTGCGCACAGAACCACAGCCTTGTCCATTTTATCTGCTGTATCCAGAGATACTTTGTCCATCAGCTCTCTGACCTTGGTTTTCATAAGCTCCTGGTCATCAAGGCGGCTCAGCACCTCCAAGGAGAGCTCCCACCCCTCTCTAGCACTCCGATCCCCAAGCCGATCTCGTGAGAAGACACCGTCCGCATAGTTGATTAAGATATCATCCTTCTGGAGTGGTTTTTCTGGTTGTCCGTAGCTGAGGACCATAAGGTCACTCTCATTGAATTCGCGCATCGGTTCGGAGCCCGTTGATGCAGCCAGCCAGCCTCCGAAGCTGGCAATCTCAGCTGTCGCAGCACTCACAGCAAGAGACCAGGTTTGCAAAAGTCTAAGTACGCTTTCGACATTTCCTTCACATACGGAAGCCAAGCCAACTTCGCAGGGATTCATTGAATTGATTTGGAAACCAGCGGATCCCAGGGTATCTGTTACAGAGCTGTAAGCGTAGTCAAGACGTCGTAAGTATGACTCTTCAGTATTGGAGTCAACAGCTCGAGGAGCCTGAGAACGACGTTTTGCTGGGGCTTTCTTCTTCCCGCCAACCGAAATGTCGCTATCGTCGTCACCATCCCACCAGGCAGTCAACGCAATTGTGGCCTCCACCCAATCCTCGGACTGCTTTAGAATATTTTCTGTTTCTCCACACAAGATGTTATACATAGCCTTAATGCTCAGATATATGGACCACGGTATCCGGCTTTCTGCCATGCGCGCGCTATGGCTAAATGACATAGAATCGGGGCGTTGAAACGAGATACCGAAATGCGACGCAACAAATGGTCCATCACTGTCATCAGAAATCTGAGATTGCCCACTTTCAGCCATATCCTCTAAATCTAATATCGCGGCGTTCACTTGTTTCCTAAACATGGCCCATTCAACCCCTTTAATTTCCCAATCATCACGCTGAACTGCTGGGCATGTTTTAAGGAGTTGAAGAGCTTTATTCACGCATTGCTGGATATTTTGTAGCTGAGAGCCATGGTACCCTGGCTGCTCGTATCCATCCTCCATGGCAGTCCTGGCGTAGCTAAAATCCGCCTCGCTCAAAAGCGTTATCACGTTACCAAACTCGGCACGCAGAACAGATTTGAGGATAAATTTCCAAAACATTGGGGAGGCGGTTGGGTTTGGCTGTATATCCTGAAGCATGTCACAATGAATTGTCTCCAAGTCGTGATATCTCCATAACCATTGAAATAGCACTTTGGGTATCGGAACTTTTGGTAGAGGTTCATCTCTCATCACCAAGTCACGGAACATACTGCGAGAAGATTTCGAGACTTGGTTACTCGGTTCGAGTAGCGGAGGATGGTGAAGCTGGAGCAGTAATGAGCTCAAGAATATAGCCTTCATGATACTGGGCGACGAGTCTCCAGGTCCAATCCCACCACTAAGAGGAACACCATCCTTTTCCTCCATTGGTGCTGGCGAATATCTTTGCCACAAGGATGATAGTTCATCGGATACGGCAGAAAGGCTTGAGTCGACTATATCATCGTCGGAATTACGATCACGGACTTGGTCGTACATCCGACATATAGCATCCTCCATACTCAATAATAGCTCACTCGGCTCATCAACCGAAGCCAGGCTTGCCCTGGCAGTCAAGTCTTTGATGATTGAGGGAAATTTCGAGGCCTTCTTTCGCTTCTGAGGTTGTTCATTTTCCGGAGATGTAGACTGTATCCAAGTTTCGTCGAGTTTCGCACGCTTTGCACCTGCCGGATTCGAGTAAATAACTGGTTTCCGTAGCAGACGGGACGGCTGAGCTTTTGTCGCTGGTTGGAAAAGAGAGCTAGTAAACGGGCCACCGTCTTTGCTTGGTGACCAGCCAATTCCGTTATCTTCTGAGGCGCGCGAATCCGTAATGACCGGTTCACTATCTTGTGAGAATGGTATGCGTCGACTTGAGTCGAATGGGCTTCTGATGCCTTTACTCTTGTTGAGGATAGATCTGTGGCTGCTGTGAAGCGGCGATCTGGTTGGCCGGTGTGACAGATAACTAGAATTACGGGAGTCGAGTTCTCTCGGGAAATTGGAGGATGTAGTAGAGAAGGATAAAAGGTCATTGTCCGTGTATGATGTGGTCGACTGATTGAATCGGCTATCGGAGAAATCCAGAGCACGTCGTGTTCCTGACTGCGAGCTTCCAAGTCCAGACGAAGGCGGAGGTCCTGCAGGGGTAAAAGACGCTGTGGAGGAAGGAGGTACCCCGGCTGGCGTCGTGGACATGTTCGAGCTAATACTCCGAGACTTGTCCGGTGTTGATAAAGCTCCTGGGCTGTAAGGAGTTGTGAACGACATCTTGAATTGAAGAGCGCTATTATTGTGAGCGCGGCGCAAGCTGAGAGAGTAAACGGATCAGGTAGACGCGTCAGGAACTGTAGCACAGCAAATCATTCCGCAGTATCAGCTTAAGGGCGAGCTCCAAAAGCCAATGTCTCCTCCGCAAATCGATACGCAATGGCAGAGCAAGATGGATGGTGGGCGGTTTGTTAGCAGAGGTTGCTCTCAACGTCTTTTGTCCTGTCACTCGAGAGAGAAATTTGGTGTTTACCTAACTGAGATGGCATGGCCCAAGCTCATGTCGGAAATAAGTTTATCCGTCTAATCTCGTGACACTTCATTAGTCATCCTGGAATACGAGGAAATTGCCGTTTTAAGTAGCTAAGACAGCCGCCGAGCCCAGAGCTGCCCGGCGATCAAGCATCACAGCCTCGATACTCCATATCGAGCGGCCAATTGTACATTTGCTCGCCGTCGAATATGACACAAGTGAGCGGTTGAGCAGCATGATCCGCCCACTATGGTGATAATATTCTGATGTCAATCGTTCAGCCTCGTCTCGAGACAGTTTTGATATAAAAGGGCGCAAATGCTCGTCTACCCTGGCCACTTTTGAAGATCACATTTTCTACCCCAGCATCGATTTGCATGATACACCCGTCACTTGGGAAATCATGGCATCTGCCAAAAATTTGAAAGCAGGGTCAACTAAGGCTCATGATCATGACGCCTCCGAGGCAGCCTCCATTGATACCCAGCTCTCAGCCCCTGGGGACTTGGGGGCTGATGAGAACCATCGTATTTTCAATGTATACAACACCACCTCGTTCACAAACTATAGAATTTCCGAGTCCAATGACAAAACCACGCTTTACTACGTCAGAACGTCCACGTTTACCCCTGGGAAGCCAGAGATAACGTTTCATGTCGGAGAAAGGGGTGGCCCAGTCGTGGGAATTGTCAACTTCCTCAAATTCTCATCACATTCAAAGGTTGGACTAGGGGACCCAGCAGACAATCTTAACATGACGTGGGAAGATCTGAGAAAAGAGAGCTTCGACCATTCCAAATATCGCTTCGAAGTGACGGTTAACGGAGTCAGAAAAGGATTTCTCTGGAAAAGAACACGCAGCATTGGAGTTGAAGGATCCGTTCCTAATAAATTCAGCGAATCAAATCTCAAACTACTCGACGAAATGACTGGTGAGCTGGTGGGAGTCTATTCTACCAACGGCATAAAAAGCATCAAGAAGATGGGAAAGTTTCAGCTGAACAAGAACTATGGTCCCGAATTTGATCGTATGTTTCTTCTTACCGGGATGGCCTTGCTTGAGAGGTTGCAACGCAGAAAGCACGCGCGAGGTGGCGGCGGCGGTGGTGGAGGTGGAGGTGGATGATTTCTCCTGAATTAATTTGGATTCATATATACCCCTTGTTGACTCACACTCGCACGATTATCAACTTTCGACGTTTGAATTCTACCTCTACCCTCATTCTTCCAGTGCTTCGATTCCTATAGCTCTGTAATTTTCGAGCTTTAGTACGACAATCAAGAGCCTTTGAAGTTTATATACACCGGAATGTAGTATCCAATAGTCATTAAATATTCATCCAAACTGCCCACAGCCAGTAATCAACCAGTTTGTTACATTGATCAGAAGAGTACTTATATTGGATATATCATCTTATATACATATATATAGTACTAAAGTCTCCAGTATGCTGGAACCAGAGTCTACTCGCTGATGATTTCCTCCCTCTTTAAACAAGTTTAATTTACTGGATCTAGTGCAGCAAATTTCGTTAACGTTCTTTCAGAAGATAAAATCCCCATACACGAGAAAGGAGTATAGCTCAATGTATGTATCAAAGCCTGAATTGAAAAATAGAGTCAAAGCTTTGTCTCGATTCCAGTTCCATTGACCAAGACGTATCGATATCTAGCCTTGCCTTCATGCATATCCACCAACGTTTGGTTCACATTCCCCATCGGCCGCTCTTGGACCCAGGGATGAATATTTTGCTCACTTGCGAGCTTAAGCATAGCCCTGATCTCCTCGGTGGAACCAATGGCAGACGCACTAATCTTTAATCCTTTGCCCATCATCACTCCAACCCTGAAGCCTGGGAACGGATCCTCGGGTGCGCCAACCTGGATGAATTCACCCCCACGTTTAAGTAGACGAAGATATTTTTCGATGGGCATATTACCTGATGAAACTGTGCAGATAATCAAATCGAGCGTTCGGGAGTATGTCCTGGCCCAGTTCTTTTCTTCGTCAGTGGCAATGAAAACGTCAGCTCCCAGTCCGGTGAGAGCATCTGATTTCTTTGAGCTCGTCCGGGAAATAGCAACCACTTTGTCGCATTTCATGGCTTTGGCAAAAAGTAATCCCATATGCCCTAGGCCACCAATACCAATGATACCAACATGCCTTCCCGGCCCCGCACCGCCTCGGAATAATGGCGAAAACACTGTAGCGCCGCCGCATAACAGGGGTGCAGCAACTGCGCTGGGAATATCATTTGGGATTTTAAACACGAACCACGCCGGGCCTCTCCAGTAGTCCGCATATCCACCATACGATTTACTTCCATCAAGGTGTTTTCCATTGTATGTCCCGGTCATGCGCGGGCAGTAGTTATCCAGGCCCGATGAACACTCTTCACAGTCAACGCGAAGGCATGAACCCGACTGTGCCCCGACACCAACCCGATCTCCGACCCTCAAGTCTCGAGACGGAGAATTCAGCTTAGCCACCTCTGGACCAACTCGAATAATATGGCCAATAATCTCGTGTCCAACCACGCATGGATAATTCGTTGGCCCCCATCCAGACCTTAGGGTATGAATATCCGAGCCGCAGATGCCACAGTGAGATATAGCAATATCAACGTCAGTGCTGGCAAAAGCCTTGGGTTCGTATGTAGTGTATGTCAAAGGAGAGGTTGCTGAGGTGCTAACCCAGCCTTTAAAAGTGATATCTTTCATGATTAAATTTCCCACGGTAGCTCGTGGTTGAGAGGTCTGGGGTATATCTGATTCCTGCTCCTGGAGATTTGGCTGATGATAGTCAAAATTTAGACCAGAAAACCAAGCCAGAGGTTATTTTGATAAAGCAGAATGCTTGTTATACGGGGACCGAGCCCTGCAAGCGCTTGACTTTGCCATCGGCCGTGTCCCCATCGTGGGGAAGGCTGATCTCGTCGTTTGTCTGCAAAGCTCTTCTTTTGTGCCGAGGCTGATCTGGGAAGTTTAACCTGATGACTAAGCTCGAGGCTCCTTCAAAGTTCAGAGTTTGCTTTTTTTGGTTTTCGCTTCTGATCGCGACTTCATACTTCATGCGATCAACCAGTTGGAAGCATTTCATTTTATCTTCTTAACCACAGCGTATGGATGATCACTATCATAACTACCTGTGCCAATGATATTCATACCAGTTTCCTATTTTCCAGTCTAATATGGAGGCAGATCCAGAGCTGTTGAGATGGTCTAGTAGTAAACCATCCAACAATGATACCAACGATCCTGGGCCGTCACAACTAGTGACAGCAGAAGAAAGAGATCAAGCTTTGTCTGAAGATAGCATCTCATCATTGTCCTCTGATGATGATTCTCTGTAAGATTCCAACGCGTTTTTTTTTTTTTTTTTTTTTTAATTGAACCGGTGCTCATTCGTAAACATAGAGAAGGTGAAATTTACGAGGAAGAAGATTATGAAGGCGACGACGATTATGTTAACCAAAACTATGACGACGATGCCGTCCTATCAAGGATTGCACGGAAAAGTCGGAGACCCGGCTTTTCTCATGGATATGACAACGACAGTGTTCGCAGAGTACCCAGACGTGGACCGCTGAAACCTGTAGAGCCGACTGCGGAATTCAAAAACCTACAATCCGAGGCTACATCTGCTTTCATTGACGCAGACTATGAGCGAGCTCTTAATTTGGTGAAACAGGCTATTCATCTGAACCCAGAAATTTTCCAAGCTCATGTTTTACTTTCCGAGATTTTTTTAGCCCAGGGCCAGAAGAGAAAGGCATTATATGCACTTTTTACCGGAGCTCATACTCGAAGAAAACCAGAAGTCTGGCTTGAGGTTGCTAATCTAATTCTAGAAAGAGCTGATAGCGACCGGGCGGCTGCATTAGATGACGTTGTTTATTGCTATAGCCGTGTGATTGATATCGATCCAAAGCGATACGATATACGGTTTGAACGGGCGGCAATAAATGAAGAGCTTGGATACAAAGGCAAAGCAATTCAAGAATATGAAAAAATTCTCGAGGGCCTTCCCCATAACACGAACGCCTTGCGTCCTTTGGCAGCGCTCTATATTGAACTAGGGGAAATAGGAAAGGCCAGAGCTCATTATGAGAGATGTATATCATACTATATGAACCTCAACCCTGAAGAGGTGGAGGATTTTACCTGGTCAGACGTGAACATTTATGTTGAACTTTTTTCCTATGAGCACCATTACCTAGCTGGCATATCATCTCTCAATTCTTTGGCCCGATGGCTTCTAGGCCGCAAAGATGATTCTGGTTGGGATATGGTTGATGATGACCGCGAATGGGATGCAGATGACTATCCACGCAGGACCGCAACACCCTGGTTTGTTCCAGGCCAATATCCCCTTGAGTCATATGGTATCGGATTACCGCTTGAGTTGCGGATAAAACTAGGCGTATATCGCTTGAAATCTGGCTATAAGGATGAGGCACTGGTATCTTCGCTCACTACTCCATCGATATTTGAGGTCAGGACAGGGGCTAACAGTAATGTAGTTTCATTTTCACTGGCTTGAACCAGATGATAACTCTCCTGGTGCTAAGCTTTTTGATTATGGAGATTTGTTCAGGGAAGCGGCCGATTCGATGAAGGATATCCAACTCTATGAAGATGCTCTCCGATTCTATATACCCCTTCAACATGTTCA